TTGAGCGAATTGCTTTTGACTCAGTAATGCGATTGCCGTGAGTTGCGCCACATTTCACAAAAATGATAAATTTTCATCGAAATTACGCAAAATAGCTAATTTTACTTTTTAATCCTGAAACCACTAGCTCGGACTTGTTGCTGTAGGCTCGTGCAAAATTTTAGAAACCTCAGAAGATCACTTCTAATGATTTACTGTTTGATTTGATCTTTCTATCCAACACTGACAAGGCTCGGGAGTGGTGCAGTACTTTAAAATCCTTCATGTTTGTGGTTCTTATCTTTTCGTGAATTGGGTGCGAGGGACTAAATTTCATGAACCCTAGAGGCTGGGATTCAGGCCTCTAGGCAGGAAACGCATCTGCATGCTTTTAAATTCTGAAAATTTTGGGCCACACAAACATTGAGGGTTTTAAAGTATTCCTCATTGTTCGTGGTCGGTTCAGACAGGCAAGAAAAGTGCTTCTTCAGAGATAGATGATGCATGCATTGGGTATTTGAAGGAAAAAGAAAGCTACTCGTTCAATGCCAATGAGACCCGTGGCTAGTATTTTTTGTACACGGCAATACCGTGAAGAGTAACAAGTTTTATTGGCAGCAATTTTTATTTTTTTAAATTGGAATTTTAAGGAGATATTGTGTAAGCAAGCATTTCTAGATAACCTAGCTCAAACAAAATGGCTCTTGCCACAACATTGCTGTTCCATCTGGTGTCTTCAAGCGCAGCTAAGCAGATATACTGCGTTTCACAACAATGCGCGACTCTATCTCTATCGAGAATATATAAAAATTAAGAATAAACATTGACGAATTAGTAAGTTTCAATTATATTTAAACCAAAAAAGTGATCCCACATCTGTGCCCGCTCCTCCCAAAATTTTTTCTTGTAGCACCGTGGCCGTTGGCGATCGCAGCTGTGTAATCAACCGCTTCCATTCAAAACATTGCCCTGGCATTAGCACCCACCACAGACTTGCGGGTAGATTGAGTGTATGGTTGTCTTGTGAACTGTTCTCTTAGAGCTCGCTACTCTAGCGAACGGCAATGTTGAGGAGGTGCACGTTCGTCCGAAGTTGCTTGGTTTCGCAGCAGACGATAGTCGGTTCTTTGGCGCAGTGACACACGCTCCCGTGACGGGGTGTCACGTGCCTCACTCCAACGCTCTTACTGGATCGCGGGGGCCGTAGCCTCCACAGTTCGCCAAGTTATCGTGAAACAGAGTATAGTTGAGTGCTTGAGGGAATTAAACTGTCTGCTGTGCAATGGATGGATGCTGATGCATGGTCACACAGGCGTAGAAAAGCATATACAGGACATTGTCACTTAGTTGAACAAGCAAACTAATGAATTTTTAATGAATTTTAACCTAGCATTTGCAGTGACATGTTTTACAATGTTTGTGCTTGTGATCCAAATGTTATCCTTGCTGCTCCAAAATAGACTTGGTTGCTTTGAAAGGTACTCTTGGACGGTTCGGACCAATGGCATCTCTTGTTAGACTAGAAACTTCACCCCTCATCCTCCGGCAACCTTATCTCGGCATTGACGCCACAAACTGCAGCTCTCTCCTAAAACAGACTAGGAAACATGGCAGCCAAGTCTTGCACACTGCCGATCCAACGGATGATCAACAGAACGTCTGGCGACCTCCTAAAAGGGCTCGACAGCCTTCTCCCAAGAAGGGCCCACCAACATGACCATCCGGGCCGGTCTTCCTCGACGACCATTGTCACCTTCCCGCCAACAGCCGTCCGGTGCCCAGAGTAGCCCCACATATTGATGTCTGACCGTTTCAGTGCCTTTCCTGAAAAACGAAAACGTGCGGTTCTGGAACGTTGCGTCTTTGGCCCGTGCAACTGCAAAATGCCGACGTCCGTCGCCTTGGTCTCGTTGTTGGGCGTCGTGTCGGCCACCACATGCTCGTCAAGTCCCAGAACTTATCCACCTCGCCTCCCAAGCACTTGCGGACACTCCTTTGTCGGACATTCTTCTGGCACAAAAAATGACCAGCCAGCTGGTTGTCTGTTCCGCACCCATAACGAATTTCAGACTTGCGTCAATCTTGCATCCGTTGGGGCCTTCTCATCAGATCGTCCTCAATGCCACGGGCGAATCCAGAATTGTGGGTCCGCCAACTTGTGCGGTTCGAGTGCAGAGTTATTGGCCGCTTCTCCAATGACAGAAGATCCCGGGACCATGACCCATGAGTGGCAGCATACTTCCTCCAAGCGGCACCATGCTCGTGCATCTCGATACCAGTAACCTTCAGAGTGTATATGATGGTAAATCTTAGACTGGGGTAGGAAAACTGGAAACGTGAAGGAAGACAGTAAAAGAACAGGCAACGTCTCAAACTTGGCTACAAAGTTTATTTTGTACATACCTTTTATACCACGTCTCCACTGCCGTCACTACAATCGCCAGAACCAACAATACCCCATGACAAGAAAACACAATAGAACTGAAAAGTAAAAGAAAAAAGTTATTGCTTTTAACAAAAACGGGGGTAAACCTTCTCTTCACTCCCTAAGGGAAGGGGTATTGTTGCTTCTGGTAGTTGTAGTGGCTGCAATTGAGACATGGTATATAAGGTATGTACGAAATAAACTTTGTAGCCGAGTTTGAGACGTTGCCCGTCCTTTTCTGGCCTTCCTTTGCATCTTCTGTTTCCCTACCCCAGTCTCAGATTTACCATCATGCTCAACTTACACCAGCCCACCTGCACCCTGACTATTTTTTCAGAGTGTGTGTCTCCCGCCCATTTTTTCCCTTTTAAGTGTTGCAAGCGATGCAGTGTTGCCCCAAGATTTCAACACACTATTCTGGCTCCTCATTTCTCTCAAGCAAAAAAAAAAAAAAAAGAACAATTTTATTTGTTCTTGTTACTTGTTGTCCCAAGTAACAATGCATGTTTTTGAATGTGAAACATTATAGTCAGCCTGAAAACAAACTACCTATGGTGCTTCACTTCATAGTTTCAGATGATGTGACCCCTTGAGTCCGCTTAAGGTGTGTGGCGATAGTTACTGCTGCAGCCAAATTTAATTGCGATGGATCAAGTAGAGAATGCAAACAAGGTAGCAATAAATTTCAAAATGTGATGGTGCTCCGAGGCAGGGCATGTACCCTGCCTCTTGACGGCAGGGTACATGCCCTGCCGTCGAGAATCTCAATGCCGTTTCAGCGGGGGAGCTGATAATTGTGGCTGAATCGCACGGTTAGACATGGCAGTTTCGGTTGACCGCAGCCTCCAGTTGGACCGGCGCCTGTGATGCAGGTGTTGCACAGCCCAGCAGTAGTGCGGCAGCAGCTTTCTGCGCTCGCAGCGGCACCGGACGCAGCTCCGTCCCATTGCCGGTGGGGTTGTGGGTCTTCCAGCAGAACAAAATGTCCAACTACAAGGATTATCAGTAGGGCACCATGCAGGGTGATGCTTGAAAGATTGTCTCAAATTGAGGGAAGTCGGTTGTCTGGGCTGTCCTCTCGTCCTGACTGTAAGGGAAATCTTTGAGAACCCTACGTCATCTAGCTCTCTCTGGCCCATCAGCACGAGCGCTTTTTAGATCAAGGGTACTCAAGGCTCCAAGGTATGCGAGGATACAAGGTCTCTGGATACGCAAGGTACAACGATACAAAATCCCAGGATACACAAGATACAAGAATATAAGGCCCTTGGATACACAAGGATTACAAGATCTCTGAATACACAAGGTCCCAGGATACTCAAGGTACAGGGATACACAAGGATATACGGTCTCTAGGTATACAAGATCCTAAGATATGCAAGGTACAATAATATAGAGCTCTGGACACACAAGGTCATAGGATACTCTAGGTACAAGGACTCTTGCTCATATGAGATACAAGATGTAAGGATACAAGGTCCGGATACACAAGATACAAGGTCTCAGGATATGCAAGGATACAAGTTCCCAGAATACACCAGGCCTGCTTGCACAGGTGATCATCGTCAGCCACAGCTGCTCTGTGGTCAGGACACATGCTTTCTCTGTTTGGAGAAGATCCACCGGCTTGCTGAAGAGGAGCGTGGGCAAGCTGTGGTTGGCCTCCTGCCAGGAGTCCTGCATGCACCGAAGCCCCCGTGTCTTGGCAGGAGCAAACCTCCTGAGCCAGCCTTCATCGCAAGATGGCATGGCAATGGCACTGCGGCGTGCGCATGTGTTTCACTCCTCGTTGTCCGAGCGCCCTAGTAGGAATGCCACATGGGGAAGTGGAGGGGTTCAGCCAGCCAAAATTGTAAACAGCGAGTGAGTATATACCTCCGAATCCAGCTCTAGCTATAGCTTCTACAGGTGCCGAGATTTGGCCCCTGAAAATGCGAAGGTTTGCGGATGTGCGGTTACACGGTTTGTACACCAAACTACTGGGCAAAAGCTGTTGGAAGGCTACCTGGGCTGCCCAATATCCACATATCTTGCATATCCTGATGGTGTACCCCGATTGCAGAAAGCACTTAAAAGGATCTCATTAGCTTTTTCAGACTGCTAGGCTCTAGCTTTGAACTGAGATAACTGCCTTTATTTCAACATGTAGAAGGACCCTTGGACCTTATCCAGAAAGCTTTTTTCTATTGGAATAAATACAGCATTTGTCACTTTCTTAGGTTAGGTAATGCCATTTGGACCACCTGCATTGTAAAAGCTGGAGATCCATTAGTTCGACCTCTCCAACTGTGCTTTGCATCACTTCTCTGGAATCACTGGGCATGACCAGCGAATGACTTCCAGGAGGAGTAAGAGTGCATTAGAGTGGCAGAAGTATGGGGCATCCAAGAAATCGTCCCACAATTCCAACCAGTTCTCGGAGAGCGCCGTAGCCCCTTCTTCCCTCGCCGACACGTCGAGTGCGCATCAGCGGGATGACCTCTGACAAGCCATAAGGTTCCTGGGTCAATAGCTCCGAGGATGTTCACGAATGGCCAGTGCTTGTGATGCCACTCGTGCGGCCACATTTTCTGACAGTGGCTGGTACTCTTTGCAGGGTCCTCTCGGATGATGCACTCCTGGGCCCGGGCCGCTACACAAGAGGTACTAGTCAACCCGAGAGCTCTTCCGAGTGTTAAAAACGCACGAGACGACATAGGCATGGTCCTTAGATGAACTGCTTACTGGTCTAAAAACACTGTTCTTTGTCCTAGTACATTTTGTCACCACAAGCTGCACTTGTCTTCAAAAAAAAAATAAGTGAAAAAAAAAAAAAATTAGAAGTTTAAAAACAATAACATTTAGGAAAGTGATGATAATTTCTTTTAAACCTGATGTAACTCCCTTTATCTGTTGTTTCAATATTGGATGTAATGACCCCTGGGTCTTGAGCATGGATGGCATTTCGAATCTTCCATCTTTTCGATGGGACCGTGGGGTTTTGTGAAAACCTCTCCACGGTGACTTCTCTGAACCCATGTCTGTCCAAGCGATCCGATCGGTTTCCTGAGGTACACAGCACCAGGTAATCTAAGGACCGTGACCTGGGGTCTGCTCACTCTGTCGAGACGTCAATGTGCTCCGTCCAGACACGCGCACCACTTTGGCACTAGCGCCACTTCGACGACGTGTCGATTGCCGCGCGCGAAAGCTGCCGGCTTTCGGCGCTTCGGGGAGGGTGAACAGGCCCTGCGTCGTCTGGCTGCTGTTAGAACGTCTCGAAAACACGCTTTCTGTCTTGCAGAGTCTGCAGCCAACAATCATGCTCCGCCGACCTACGTTTGGAGGTGACTTCCCGGACAAGCAGCCCACTCGTTCTCTTCGACATCCTCAAATAAAATTATGTTCCTCGTTCACACCCCCAAAATGGCAAGCACTTGACTCTGGCTTTTGGACTGTCCGAGGTCATCCTCTTCCAAGGTTGAACCCTTGACTGATGTCGGAGCAGCAGTACTGCAGCCTAAGCTCGTTATAACAGACCTTGATTTTGACCAAATTTCAGTCTGTTTTAAGAGGAGTATGTTGTACGCAGACATGAAGTTGAGTCAATGGTATGTAGAGGAAAACCAACAGTACTTCACAAATCGGTATGTTATATCCAAATGTCTGTTGTAACCAAGTCTGTTGTAATGAGCTTAGACTAGAGTCTTCCAGCACACTATTGATGAACCCGGTAGATGTTGCAACCTCCTGTAGGCACAAGCTCTTGGCACTGAAGGTAGCAACCCTCTAATGCTTGGCGCCACCTAGTTTACAAGGCCCCTACAGTCATGCCACTAGCTAGGGTGCTGCGACACTGAGGATGATGACAGCACATGCATTCTGCGGTATTGTGCTGTACTTCGGGATTTATGGTGGCTCTGTAGTATGCACCGCAGGACATGACGTCTCCCTCTAATGTCCCCGATTATCTTTGTCACCTCGGCGACAAAGGTGACTGAGCCAGCTGCACTCGGTGCAGTAAAGTCTTTCTTTCAGTCAGTCTCCCTGCTATACAGTTGTCTCAATTACATGGGCACCCCGTTCTATGGACACAGTTTTCATGAACTGTGTTTTTCCCCATACAAGTCTGCCTCACTAATATAGAAACCCACGGTCCAGACTTGGGACAGCTAGCTTGGGAACAAACTGTGTAAATGCATGCATTTCTTTTCTCATAATTATAAACACAAGCTTCTAAAAATTCTCCACAAACCACCTGTCCCCCTAACAAGCGTGTGCACACAAAAATAAAGGATTGGGGAATTTTCGAATCGCAGAGTACACCCAGAACTGGCGCCTCTGGGCTGCCCAAGCGCCAGTCCTGTTGTACGTGTGCCTTCTTTGTTGTCCTTGTCAAGTTTGCGCTATTTTAATCGTGTCTAGCAAGAACCAACTAGCCCGAAAAAAAGTTGTTTTACACCCAGAACTTCACTATTGTCTGCTGTTTGTTGACCTGCCTGAGAAAGCTAAAACCTGGGCATCGAACAGTATTAACATTTTTCGGGGCTATCCAGCCAGCCAGCCTTTACCTGTGCGTACCTGCGGCAAACCTGTTGCCGCAGGTTTGTAATCTGCGGCAACGGCCGCAGATTACAAGCCTGAAGAACATTCATTAGCTATGTGTACCCCTTGTGCATAAAAGTAAAGGTGAAGCAATTTACAGGTCACTTGGAAAATAAAACTGTCGGGTGTGAAGTGGAAGCGACCATTATAAGTGCAAAACGTAAGCCACTGCTTTTCTATAGCAGGAAGGACATAAAGATGTGCCTTTCAGATAGCGGATACTTACGCTTTTTGGGTATAAAAGTATGCATCAAGAAAGTCTCGGCATTTTTTATTAACTGGGTCTTCTATCGCCATGTCTAGTCTACTGCTTATCACTTGTGATCTTGGCCTCGATTGATTATTTTGGATGACTCTCATCAGAGGTATTTTGGATGTTCATATTGACGAGATGTCACTAATGGTATTGTCACAATGTTGTTTCTGGTGTGCATGAGTTTACTTTTGCGCTTTTCCTACAATATGCTTCTATCAGCAATAGATAGCTGTGTGGAGAGGCTGGCTGTCTACATTATTTTCAATTGTTCAGGGGACTCGATTAGGTCGTCTCAGCATGGCCTATAGAAGAACACGAGTGCGAGGCTTTTTTGTGCTCAATGTCGTAGCGCGACAACCATTGAGTGGTCTCTTGCCGCCTGCTTGTAGCTGGTTGCTGCATGTATGTTTGCCTCCCTTCACTACGTCCAAACCAGTTTATACTTTAGGTAGGTTGCTCATAGAACCGGTCCTCCCAAGGTCTGATGCATGCGGAGTCAAACCCTGGATGTACTTGCGCCCTAAGTTAACCGTGGCAATTGGTTCATCGAACAATGTTTCATCAACAGACTGTTTAATCGACAGCACAGATTAGCCTTTTTCTGTAATAAGCTGCACGAGACTGTTGTTGCAAAGCAACATGTATGGGTCAGTCAGGTGGGTTAACATTTTTGTAAGAAGCCGCCGCAGAATGTCGACCACAAAGCGGTGTGAATGCAGGTGGGGGGATGGGTTAACGCGCACACCAGTGATGCACGCATTACAAAATGTCCCTACAGCACCCAATTCGCATAACGAGTGTTGATGAAACGTTTGTGTCGACAAAACGTGTGTTCATGGAAAGTTCACAAAATGTAATTCCACGGAACGAATTTCGACGAAACGATAGGGACCCCCAACTTGCACCCACACAGACGGTAGATGCAAGCGAGGTCCTGCCATGCACTGTTTGTGCTTTGAACACTGTGCCGGACGGTCTTGTTAAACCCTAGTCTACTGGTGCTTGTTGTCACGAACTGCTGCACGCTAGGTTATTTTTATTTATTTATTTTGAAGATGCTAATGTGGAACGCATTCCACCAGATGCGCAGCCCAGTCTAAAGGCCGGTTTGGGCATTTGCATTTCAGTGCATTGTAAGTACTGGTAGCCGACGAGAGAGCTTGCTGACATCTATAGAGTAGCCCTGGTACGCTTTCAAGTTGCACAACTTTACGCGTCATTCTTCCACCGTAAGCTTGAAATAATTCTCGCAGCATTAGAAGCAACTACTTCGCATAGTGCGTAACTGCATAAGCTTTGGAATGTCCAGAATCGGTAAAGGATGTGTGAGAAGAGCATTACAGCATGTTTAACTTTAATTGTAACAGATTAAAAAAAACCTAGGCAAGTTGGCTAACCAACTCGATGTGTTAATTAACTTTTTAATTATTAGTTTTATGGGTCCAGTTGCAATTGCAGTATTGAAGGGTGAGTATTAGAGGCCAGACCAATTAAAAGAAGTTGTGAAAATGTAATGATTTTTTAGATATTGGTCAGTTTTCACGATTTTATCCCAATTTAACAATTGCACGAAAACAGTGTTCCAAGCCCTGCCCTCAATGACGCTTGGAAGAATGACTTAGTGGTTTCAGTCCTCTCGTCTTTACCTCAGCAGCATGTCCTTGGTGGGTGCACGGACAACACAATTGAAGACCTGACTGAAATGACCACGTCACTCTTCTAAGTCTCATTATGGGCAGGGCTTGTTGCATTCTTTTTGTGCACAATTTTTAAATTAGACTAGCAATCTTGAAAATTGAGATTAATAACTCTACAACTATTGCATTTTGTCAAATCCTTTTAATTGGTTGGGCCTTTAATAGTAATTTTTGTCAATACTGGAGTTGCAACATCACCCCTAAAATTAATAATGAAAATGTTAATGAACATATTGTGAGGGTGCTCGAGGACAAGAACCACTTCACCTTCTTCAACCTTGGATTTTCCTGAGAGCAGTTGCTCGATAATTCTGTCCCTAAAACTGCCCATCTTGTCCTCGCAACGTGGCGGAGGTACCCGATTCTGGCATCCCCAAACCGTGGCATATTCGCTATAATCTGGTGCTGCAACACCGAACGCTCGCTGCAATTACTACGAAGTCGACGTCGGTGGAAGTGCCTACTACATCTAGTACGATAATCGGCAACGTGCTGATGCCAGTCTCGCCAGCAGCTGCGTGAACTGTCCAAAGCCGGCAAGGTGACTTGAAAGCCGTTGCTGGTCTTCGCGACGAGGACATCGAAGACTGGATCGACAGCTTTGAACGAGTAAGCACTTACAATTGGTGGGATGACATCAAGTTGGCAAATGCCGCCTTCTACCTTGCAGACGTCACACCCACAAAGTTCTACGTGATGGTCGGCTCCAAACCATTTACTCTCCGCTGGCTCGCATCATCTTTAATATTGAATGGCCAGGAGGCCATACTTCAACCATCAGGGGGGAACATGCGGGGCTGCTAGGGGACAAGACCCACATCATCATCATTGTGATCATCATCACTGCTATTCTCAATTCTTCTATATTCAACTACCTCTTTCTCCAATTCCCTCAAGTGTGCGCGTCTGTCCTTGAATTTTCCCCGAGAGCAGCTGCCCAACAAATCTGTCCCCAGAACTGCCTGTCATCACAATGTTTTACTTAATTATTTCATTTACCACAACGATTATGATCATCTGATTATGATCATCACGATTATGATCATCACTTCACCATATCAACTTAGACCAAAAGAAAAATGGTTTGTTGCACCATCACGCACGTTGTATTTTAATCAAACATTAAATTACCAGTTAACTACTCTATTAAATTACTTATTTATCAAAGAAATTGATATCGATGGGATGACACTGACTGAGGTACGAAAATGTTTTTGATTTTCTTTTTCTTTGTATTGAAAAGTCCCGTATGTGTATAATTATATTTATATCTATTTTTCTTAGCCGTATGTGTGTAATTATATTTATATGTATTTTTCTTCGCCTGCTGTAAGAGGGGGCTCGGACCTTCGTCAAGCTGCAGTTGCAGCTTTTTGTCCATGTCCCCTGTTTTCGTCTCCGAAACGAAATAAAGAGATTTATTATCTAACATCCGTTGAGCCTGATAAATGCATGGTGAAAACAGCACCTGTGCAACTATAGTGCCGTTTCTTAAAAATATTATGTTCTTATTAAAATCAAACACCCTGTATAAACAAGTGCGTCAAAAAAATTTAGCGAGCTGCGTTTGAGACATATTGTTTGTTTCCCACTTCCTCCATGCATCGTCTCCAGTTTAAATCCACCATTTTCATATGAGCACACTGCACATCAGTGTTGCGGAGTTGCCACTCCGGAGTTGGAATGATTCCGGAATCATTCCGCAGTTTCGCGACCCCGGAATGGAATGGGAATGGAATGGCGGCAACGTTGAGGGGAATGGAATGGGAATGGAATTGAATGCCTTTTGCCCAGAATGGAATGGGAATGGAATGGGCCAGGTTCTTTATATTTTATTTATCTATTTATTTATTTAATTTTTACGTTCAGCTAT